GCAGATATTAATGAAGTTATTAGACAGAGAGAGAGAGAGAGAGAGAGAGAGAGAGAGAGAGAGAGAGCGTGTATATTACCTCTCTGAGTCTGTGTGTCTCTCAAAATTGTTCGGCAGCAGTGTCTCTACTAACAGTGAAACTTTAAGTTCATTTTCTTCACGAACAGTGCCGTTGTTACCTCGCTTGTGAGAAATATCATGTAACTTTTAAAATAAAATCGCCAGAGTAGCGATAACAACGTTAGCACGTGTATGTTTCTGTACTGTAAGTTATGTCTGTGAGAGAGAGAGAGCGGGAGAGATAGAGTATGTGCTTAAATAATAAAACGTAATTATGTGGCAAAACATGGAAATGATCTGTCGTTTTTATCATATTGCTTACTATATTTATTTGTCTGGCCAGTGTTGTTGTGGGTTTTGGTTATTGTGCTGTTGTAAGACCTTTGAAATAACAGAAATCATTTGGCGAAGTGATATGGACATGTAATGCGGTCCAGAGCTGCCTGGAACTATGTTCGCTGTGCGTTTCCCTGAAAATAATTGCACACCTTAGAATGTTCATCAGCCAATCAGATTCACGCATTCAACGGCCCCGTAGTATATATATATATATATATATATATACAATTTTGCAATAAACTTAAAATATGTTGTTAGATATCAATGTATCAACAACTTTGAATAGTTTTGTATTTCTTGATGTTTTTAATTTGATTATGTAATTTGCAATGCTTCATGGGATTGTAGTTCTTTCCCTCATTAAGCTTACAGTAAGTTCACAGTCTTGTACCTTTGTGTATTTATTCAATTTTCAAATACTTTTTTGCTTTTCTTGATTCACCTCGTGGCTGGTTGGTTTTGTTCAGGGCTTAGGCTATAACACTTTAAGGAAGGTTTTTTTTAAAACCCTGTGGGTAAAATTAATGTAAAAATACTTCAGGAATCAATGCTACTAAAAAGTGGGTGGGCACTAATGCACTCTATTATTCCTGCTCTCTGGAATAATCTATTCTGATTGGCAAATTAAGCAGTCAAATGTTTTGCTGTCATCCTTGCCGATGCTGATGAGTATCAGTCCACTCATCCATGTAACTGAAACGGTTGTCCCACTGCTGGCATCTTATTCAACATAAAAATAAATTAAATCAACCAGGAGAGTTTGATGGTATATAACTTGAAGCTAGTAGCAGAATCAAGTATGATCCTCAGATTAATTAATTACTTAATGATAATATTATAATTGTATAATTAATCACATAAACACACACATTTAGAGTACATGACCTTCCGTAACAGCCACCAGACAACACCTCAAATTTAATTTTATCGATCCCAATCTTAACCAAATCTGCATATAAAATGACATCTATGTTAAACCGTATAGCAAATTAGCTCAAAAGGCAAATATTTATAATTAATCATAACTTGTTATAATTAATTATAAATATTTGCCTTTTGAGCTAATTTGCTACAACATCATTTTAGAACACTAATCCGAATAATGCTTAAGAAAGACAATGGCAATATCATGTTAATGTATTCATTAGACATAACTGCTGCAATATGAAGAGAGAGCTAACTGTGGAATCTGCCAGGCTAGTTTGTCACTTTGTATCTCTTTGTCTCACTCAGCAGTCAGGAGTCACGCCTGTAGGAAGGGCCTCATGTGTGACAGCTTTCCAGACACCATGTCAGTTTAACTCCAGGAGGACGTGGCCAGACAGCCCCGACAGACAGTGCTCCGTGGATTGCTTATTTACGAAACACTCTGTTAGAATGTTGATGAACGATGCGCTCTCACGCCTGCTCACTGCTGACCCCTGTTGCCCAGTGGCTGAGGTTAGTAGTAGAGTGGGGTAAGGGGAAAATATTGCTGATGATTGGCCAGGAATAGTTGTTTTGTATATAATATATATTTTGAATGCTGTTTTGTAATAAAAGAACATTTGGGATAATTCAGAAATGAGAAATTCTGTTATCATTTATTCACCCTCATGTTGTTCTAATTTTCAGATTTGGCTAAATCTAGATTTTGCAAAATTTCTCATTTTGTGTTGCAAAGTCATTCGGGTTTGGAATGACATGGGGGTGAGTACATAATGAAAATAAATAAATGCACAATTATAATGTACTGCTTCTAAAAAGAATGATTTTGTGGCAACATCTAAATAAACACATTCTTTGATAGAACAATGACATTTATTTCCCCTGAGGATTTACAGACTAAAAAGCCCTATTCAAATGGTAATTATTTCTCACGAGGACGTAAGCCATTTTCAACATTTACAGGGGTTAGTCTGTGATATTTTTTTCTCCCACCACCCTACTGTTTTTTGACAAACACCAAGGTCGTGCAGTAATTTAATTGACGTCCACATTTCTGAGCTTACAAGAGGAAATTGATTCAAAATTCACCATTTAAATTATTTTTGACCACTGCCATACACCGTACGGTAACTGTTGCACTTTGCTGTAATTTGCATGCATATTTATTACTGAAATGCTGGAAAGTATTTACAAGTACAATATTTCACAACTGCTCCACCACGAGTGGGAGCTGTTAGGAACAAAATAAGAAAGAGAAGAAAAAGCACGTAAACATTTGAAATGAGTCATTATCATGGTGACAACAGGTATGCAATACAATTTTAAAATATATATTATATACAATTATATACATAACTATATCGAGTATAATTATTTACAACTATAGCACGTCTAATTTCCTATTTTTAACCAGGAGATTTAAATAATACATAGGATAGTATAAAACATGCTTGGAATAAAAAGAATACATTCATGTGACATTTTATTTACAGCAGGCAACCATGCGACTGGCCATGTTAGCAGCGCGTTCTCGGGTTCATAGGATCACAGAACTCGCTTATCCACCGTGAATAAATCACCATCCGAATCCATCAGTTTTATCACTGAGGTGCCATGTAAGTTTATTTTTACAGATGTTCACATTAGAAACAATTACCGTCCGAATAGGGCTAAACAGGCAGTTTGGATTAAACTCTTCCCCTCTTAAAGATGCTTAAGAATTTAAAGGGGTCATATGATGCGATTTCAATTTTTCCTTTCTCTTTGGAGTGTTACAAGCTCTTGGTGCATAAAGAAGATCTGTAAAGTTGCAAAGACTAAAGTCTCAAATCCTTTGAGTCTCAAGTCTCAAAGATATTCTTTATAAAAGTTAAGAGTCAACCACGCCTACCTAAAAGGGCATAGAGGAGAAACAATAATGTACATAATATGTGGAAAATAATGTGTTTTTTGAACCTTAAACCGCATAAACACATTTCATTACACCAAATACACAAAATAATGTTCTTTTTAGCAGCATCATATGACCCCTTTAATGTTTGAAGAAAAACAAACCACAGAAGTAACTCTGATACATATTCAAATATACGTCATTAAAAACTAGTTGTTTAGTTCGGGTCTGTACACACTGCGTAGAAATTTCTGTAAATGCAGTTGTCACTACCTGAATTTTTCAGGAGTTCATTTGGTTGTAGAATGCGGTTGTCACTCATGTAAATTACAGAACTGTGTGTGTACAGAACAAGATTAAGCACTAAAAAGTGAACTGACACCCAAATTTAGCTGCAGTGTGTACATGGACTGCATTCTGTAAATCCAAAGCTTGATTTAGGGCACAGCTACTGAAAAAATCAGATAGTGACAACCCAACGACCAATAAATCTGTATACAAATTCTACCTGAACAAGCAGTTGTTAATGCTTTAGCACTGTAAAAAAAATGTAGAAAAACATAAAAGGCACTGGTCATTTTCTGCCAGTACATTATCCGTTAAGTTTACGGATATTTCCTTTAATGCTAAAACACAACACAACATGATACATTATGCCTGTGACGAGTGGGGCGGGGCCGAGAGCCGTGGGAACTGAGCGACGCCGATGGGGTAAATGATGATGAGCGACACCTGCGCCACTCACCGGTCTCGAGTCCCACGGAGGAGCTACGGAAGGAT